TTCGTTCCCAATTTCCAACTACTACCTCCAGCCCCCTTACATGTCTTTCCCCCGCACGAGGCTCGAGACATCCGCTCCGGCCATGGTAAGAGCAGGTTGGGACCCTTGAAAAAGAAAAGAAAAGAAAAATATCAGAAAACAAGCAAAACAAGAAAAAAGGGGGTTCCAACCATCTTCAAAGAAAATAGAGCACCTTGAAAAATGTGAGTCCATGATCCTTTGTTTTTGAGAATCTCTCCATCCACGATTCATTTGTCCTCTGTTCACTATTTGCCATGATGCCGACTCGATACTAGTGCTCTCGCCGAAGAAGCTATGAGATGACTTGTGCGTCGGTTGACCTCGTAAGTTGCTAAATGATCTAGGAAGTCCTCTACCTACGATCTGGGTTGTTTGTTGCTCTAGAGGTCTGGAGAGTTGCATTGGTTTGAGTTAGGTTTGCTTGGGGACAAGCAAACGGTTAAGTGTGGGGGAGTTTGATAACGATGTAAATGTACATGTTTGCGCCCCTAGTTCTTATCCGTTTGAGGGGTATAGTCGTGTGTTTTGGCCTATTTTACGCCGGGTTGTGCTATTTTGTCATGTTTCAGGTCCCAGGTGTCAAAGGGAAGGCTAAGCGCGAGTTTCGGGGCATTCGGAAGTCATTTCGTCAAGCTGGAGCCAAAACACGGGCAGCCTAAAGCATTACACGGCCGTGTTCTGGTGGCCGTGCTTTTTATGCCGAGAGCTGAGCTGATTACACGGGCAGGGCCGAGACAAAGCACGGCCGTGTTCCACCAAAGCACGGCCGTGTCCAACGCGAAGCACGGCCGTGTTTATCCCAACTGCTGGCCGTGTAATTAACACTGGCCGAGACACGGGCAGGTTCAGGCAAAGCACGGCCGTGTCCTCGACCGTGCTTTGGCCACTGATGCCTTTTTAAGCAGATTTTCAGCCAAAGTCAAGGGGATTCGAGTTTTAGAGAGAGAGATCAGTTCCTAGAGAGAGAAAGCGACGAACAAGAGTCTCCAAGCGCCCTAGCTTGATCTTCAACACCATTGGAGGCTTGTTTGAGCTTGGAGAAGTGCCGATCAACGTCCAGGAGCAGGAATCCATCCTTCACAGTATGAATTCCGCGTCTGATTCTGCTTTTGCTTTCTTCTCCATGGAGTAGTTCTCCCATTCATCTGGGTATGGAGAATCCTAGATTTGTATGTTAGGTTTGATTGTATGAACCCAAGTACTGATTCTATGATTGATTATATTCGATTGAGGTTTGAATGACTGAATGACTTGAATCCTGATCAAATTCCTGTTGTTTCTGCTTTAACCAAGAATGAGAATATCTGCCTAGGTTAATAGAGTATCCTTGATTGAAGGTAGGGAGTTGGTGACTTTAGTCGAGGAGCCAACTCACTATTCTGTACCGGATTTACTCCGGTAGTGGAGGTTTTGTTTGTTAAGGCCTCAATCTGTTTACTCCAGTGGAGGTTAGTCGCCCGCTAGAGACTCAGATTGAGAGGGTCTGAAGACCTTTAGTCGAGACTTCAGGCTGTTTAAGAACCTTCCGCAGTATAACCATCATAGAAACTGAACTTGGTAATTACAATCCGGCTTAATTGCAGTCTAGGGGGAACCATATCCGGGTGACCTCTTTAACCTGAATACAACTGTTTACTTGCTTTGTTGGTTTGATAGTTTAGACTTGCATTCCATTTTCATTGCTAGATAACAAGAATTCACCGAGTAGTCATCAAATCTAGGACCCGGGTTGACATATAAACCTAACCCGCTATACTACGCTTTAGGAAGTGGTTTCACTTGGCCAATTCCTAGGGTGACAGTAGAGTCGAGTCAGCTGGTAAAGTCCCAGGAATCCTACCTTGAATATCTGCCAAAGTTTGAGCCATCTGACCTATTTTCCTGTCCATAGCTAGCATAGATGATTGCATATTATTGTTGATGGCTAGCTGTTGAGTGACAAATTGATCAAGACCCTTGAAATTATTGTCTGTTTTCTGCATATGAGCCAAAATCAACTCGTCCAGCTGCGACTTCTTCTCTGGTTGAGGCTGCTGCTGTTGAAAACCAGGAGGTGGGATGTTTCGAACACCAGCTGGGTTATTGTTCGACCATGATATATTGGGGTGATGTCTCCATTGAGGGTTGTATGTATTTGAATACATACCACCCTGGCCTTGACTTCGCGGGTTATTGATATATTGGACATCTTCCAACTGAACAGCTCCCAGTGGACACATATCCCTATGATGAGCACCTTCACATAATTCGCACAAAGCAACCTCCTCTTGTCTACCAAGAGCAATCTTGGCCAGCCTTCGTTCGAGTGCATCGAACTTAGAATCTAACTTGGCATCTATCTTGGCTTCTAGGCTTGTGGCTCTGTCTACTTCATGCAGGCCACCTCTTCTTCAAATATTGGTCTCGCTACCCCATTCAGTAGCTTCTGAACAGATCTTCTCTACTAGATCATATGCTGCTGGTGCCTCCATGCTTGTGAAACCATTCCGCGAAGCATTATTCAGAGCATCCTGGAACTCCCTTCTGATTCCATTGAAGAAGATAATGATCACGTTCCAATCCTCAAGACCATGACTTGGGCATCTCATCAACAACCCTTTATAGCGCTCCCATGCCTCAGTCAGACTCTCATCATCAGCCTGCTTAAAAGTAACAATCTCTTCTTGCCTCTTCATTGCCAAGGCAGGTGGGAAGTATTTATCCAGAAAGACCTTCTCAAGCTGAGCCCATGTCGTGATGGAATGTGGTGTTAAGTTCTGAAACCAGTGTGATGCATTCCCTATCAGAGAGAATGAGAACATTTGAAGATGAATTGCATCATCAGACACAGTTGGGCTCTTCATCGTATCACATATGCTCGCAAACCGGCGAAGATGCTCGTGAGGATCCTCACTGCTAGCCCCACAGAAAGTATACCCATTGGTGATCATGTTGATGAATGCTGGGGGTAATCTCCATGGTTTCATCCCCAGCCGGAATGACAACACATGAAGCTCGGGCTCCAGTCCTCTGATTCAGACGAGCCCTGATGGATCGATCCTGTTCTGCCATGATGAAAGGCTCGATGTCACGAGGTGGTGGTGGTGGTGTCGGTGGTGTAGGGACAGGTGATGAAGCCTACCCTCTCTGTTGACGATTCTTGGTTAGGGAAGGCCTAGGAGTTGTGGATGTGGTAGGCTGCTTCCCTAACTTGACCTGCTTCCTGTTCTGTCGGCAGGTCTTCTCGATCTCCGGATCTAGTGGCAGTAAATTGCCAGTCGTCCTCCTTGGCATGCACGAGGATGATAAACCTGAAAATTCTTCTGCACACTAACACCCAGATCAAAATAGTTCACTCACAAAAATCAACAAAAAAAAAAGGTATGGCAGTCCCCGGCAACGGCGCCAAAAACTTGATAGGTCAAAAGCGTATGCCTTAATCCTATCTTGTAGTAAAACCGGAAAGTCCGGGTATCGTCTCTCAAGTACTGGTACAACCTTAAGATTTACCGATTTAATAGAGCAAACTATAGGTGAAAATGGTTTAACGAGATTATTAACTACTAGCAAAGTTAACTAATTAAGCAAATTAAAGTGTCGGGTTTAAATCAATGGGAGAAAGATCTGGGAGAAACACTAGGATTCACTACCTATCCTATCCATATTAATTCACATATTCCAATCAATTTAATCCAACTCTCTACAGCCAGGGTATCACGAAAGTGCTAGCTATCCCTGTCGGGAATTACTACGTACTAGATAATCAATTCAAATCCTACTGTCGTAGCTCAATGAATTAACTATATAGCCTGAAGATCGATATCCGATTTAAGACCGCATAGCACATTATTTAATCCACTGTCGCTTAGATAAGTTACTATGTCACAAGAAATAGGTTCGGTTAATAGGGTTTCACTGTCGCTAATAACCTAATTAACTACGATTCATTGTATTGGTGGCCAGTCAACAAAAAACATTAAGTAATTTCATGCAATAGAGATTGGAAGAAAAGAATCATGAATCAATCTATCAAATCAAGAAATAACTACATCCTATGGTGTTTCCCCCAGAAATCGGGGTTTAGTTCATGACGAAATTGAGATAAATCGATAGGGTTTTGATCATCATGTTCTAAATCAACAATATACAACTAGTTCGGTTCAGAGAATCCAACCAACTAATCACTCTCGTTGAACTCAGCTCAAACCATGACGATTGTCGATTGCTCGAGACGCAAGCCTTGCTCGCGTCCAAACTCCAAAAATAATCACCGCCTCCAAAGAATTTTCCGCGCCCAGCAATAGTCGTCCTTTCCCAGAATAATTCCCCTCGTCCTCTTACAATTCCCTCCGTCCCAACAAGCTGCCTTGCAATTAATTCCCCTCAAGCCTTCCGCCCAGCCTTCTCCCGAGAATTCCCTTTTCCTCCGCCAAATTAATTTTCAGCTCCGAGACTTTTTCTCCCCCGAGCCTAAAAGGAGATCGCCACCAAAATAAAGTTTCCTGGCCCAAATAGAATTTTGTTCCGTCCCCAGCCTTTGTGTCCAATTCTTTCCCCGAGCCCAATTACTTGTTGTGCACTCGCTTCTTTTTCGTGCTTTCTCCACCTGTAACATATTAAACTCATGGCACTAGGCAATAATGGTTTTTCAACCATTTCCGGGTTAGCGAGCCCTAAAATAGCACCAATTGGCTAAAACATACCATGAATAATCACATAAAGTCCAAGAATCCGATATATTAAAGCCGAATATCAGTAGGCATGATGTGTTATTAGTTTGTAATTAATAGTCCAATTACAACACTTACCACATGTGTCGAAAACTGGACCTGGTTAAACGAATCCATCTCTTTCATTACAAACTTGGTTGTAGACATGATGTGTTGATTACTAAGCACAAGTCTCACTCAAGAATTGTAAAACCGTTTTACTGGAAAAGTTTTTTTTTTTTTTTGCAAAATCAGTTATAAAGTCAGTCATACAGAGGAAATAAGAAGAGCGCGGAAGTCGACCAATAGCCGAACTCCCGATGAGAGGGCCTTTTGTGCCACATGATGGGCAACCCTATTAAGTCGACGAGAAGCAAAATAGTAAGAAACCCAGCTAAAGCGAGAAGCCAAACTTCAAGCATCCTCCAATATAGCTCCACCCCAATCTTGAGCCGAGTCACCTCTCACCATCCGCCGTATCAAATGTTGAGAATCCCCATATTTACTGGAAAAGTTAGCATAAGGGTATTTTGTGCTGAAATAGTGGTTGAACCCAGGATCGAAGTCAAGATTTGGTGTTTTTGTGGCCGGAGTTTCTTACCCCGTTATCGCCAAAAAGTGCATAAATTAATAAGGGCTAATACCAGTACAACACTCGAACTATTGAAAAAATGTCATTTGTATCCTATTTTATTCAATATTCCATTTCTATCCCGTCATATGATACTTTGTGTCATTTGTATTCTGGGCATTTTGTTGACCGTTAAAAATAACGGTTGACCAAACAGTAGTCAAACCAATGTTGACTTTTGCTGACGTGGTAGAAAATGTGGCATCCACGTGGATGCCACGTCAGTAACATTTTCTTAATTCAAAATCAAAGTAAAATACAAAAATCATTAAAATTACGAAAATAAAATCCTCATCGTCGCCTTCAACCCCCTCCCCGCCTCGCTCTGCTTCACCCTTCACCGGAGACAGAGCTCTTTGTCGCCTTCAAATCCCTTCCCAAAATCAACATGATAACAACGATCTCTCCGCCTCTCTCTTCCCCGGCGGCAACCTGCTCTCCAGAGCGACCTCGACATGGCTTCCTCAACTCTCTCCAGCTTTCTCCACAACCTCGATTTGCAGCTCAGATCCGGCGTCCTCCACCAGTCGAACACCATCGTTTTATCCCAGCCAGGGGTGGAATCGGAGAAGGAAGAGCTCGCGTTATTTTTGAGAGATCTATTCACCATATTGCAAATCGGTGGGCTGGAATTCAAGAAGAAGGGGCTCGAATCTCTGCTTCTCAACGACGATGAGAAGTCGGGAGTTCAAGTGTCGATCCTGACATCGTCTGCAAACGACTAATAGAGGAAGAGTGTGTGTCGAGGAAGGTGGATTGGGCCAGCCGACGAGAGTTCCTGATTAGGCTATCTTTGCCCAAATTGTGCCTAAGATTTCGTCGATTTGGGGACGGGGAGCTTTGTAAATAAGCTTGCCGATTCGATTCGAAAATCTAGATATGCTTGCTTGATTTCCTTACTTCGACAATGACTTTCTATTTCTCTTCTTTTGGTCTCCCTGATTTCCTCTAAGTCTCGCAAGATCGGAAAACCCAGATTTGTCATGTTCATCCACCACCAGTCTATCAACAATATGAGTTCCAACCACAACATATTCTCCACCACTTTATTAAGCATTTTGTACAACCCACAAAACACGAGCTTCGCACAATAGCGAAGAAGAAGGATTAGAAGAATGAATGGATTTGAGAGCAACGACGGCGAGTTTAGAATAACAAGAATATGAGGGTTCCATGGAGGTGAAGGAGCGGCGATGTCTGAAGGGTTATTTTATTTCTATTTTATTTTGGATTTTGGAAATATTTTTAGTGTTTTATTCTCTTTTTTATATTTTTATTTATTTATGTTAAAAATAAATTAAAACTAAAATTGAAAATTACATTTGAGATGCCACGTCAATGCTGACTAGATTTTCTGTTAAATACTAATAGTCAACACTAAGGGAAAAATAGTTCGGGAGATAAATGAAATATTGGATAAAATAGGACACAAATGGCATTTCTTCGATAGTTCTGGTGTTGTAGTGGTATTAGTCCAATTAATAAAATAAATATCTTTAAATTATGATAATTTCACTTTTAAGATGATTAAAGTAAATTAAAATAAGCTCTAAGCAAAAAAAAAAAAAATCTAGAATAATAGGTTCAATATATATTAGAAAAACAAACAAATTAATAATGCATGCTAATGTTGTTTAACACATCCTATTTCATAATTACAAATGATTGTCATCGAGTGCACTTGAGTATTTGGAAGAAAAAAAAATCCATAAACGATGATCATTCAAAAAAAAAAAAGGCCCTAGTTGAAACGTTTCATACCTCTGAAAATTGTTACTATAGCTATATGCCTGTATCCTTATAATAAATTTAGGCAGTGTAGTTAGAAGTGTGATTTTGGACTTAAAATCGATAAAGTTTTCCGAGATTTGAGAAATCGGCTGCATACTATCTTATGGTTCAATATGTTTCACATTCCAATGTAATCGGACGTTCCCAAAGGGATGCTGCCTCACCCTCGTTTTTGTGATTTTTCCTTCCAACATTCATATTCCCCGACATAACACCCAAACCAACATACCAAAGTAGATTTGGCAGAACGACAGGCTAACTCGATGCAATGGAGACAACACGCACCATAAAAAAAACAGATCTCTATCAAGTCTCAACACAGATATTACATTTACACATATTTCGCAGTGTATTTCAGGCATAACCCATGATCAGAACCATCGAGGTAAAAACTGGGGGGTAATAGCAAGAGCACCACGTCTTTAGCACAAACCACATGCAAACACACCCTTGACTAAGGCTAATTACTCTACTGGTACATGTAAGAGACAGATCAACGAAATCCCTTGTATAATTTTCGCCTGTTTAACTTGTAATGTCCTGTGAAATGCCCCGCCCTATATAACTCTCTCTCAAGCTTGCCAGAACACTCCGGGGTCGTTACTGTACAGGGAGTAATCTTGAATCTCTTGGTTAGCAATGTGACAATCGATTAGTCGTGCTTGAACAATTTTACAAACCAAAAGCCCGCAAGGAAGTATCCACCACTCACTTTCATCCCTGCAATTCGAAATACTCACAAGCATCACTTAAACATAAACAATGGCGCTGCAGTTTCTCCAGCTACCGTAACAGAGTTGTTTAGAGGGGGGAGGGGGGAACTTACATGCTAAAATTCCAGGACTGGAAGTTCCGATGATTTTCCCTTGAGCGAGTTATGTAATGAACAAAACCACATACTAATGCTACCACCTGTGTCAGAAGTGAAAACAAGTGATGAGGCTAAGATCAACAGATGCTGAATGCTGAGATCTTCAAAGTAAACAAACGGCAGAGACTTGGGACGTAAAACAAGGAGAGATGGGGGAAAACTTACAACATTGATCAAGGATGTAATATTCCACAAAGCATATACACGAGATAGACCTGCTGATCGCCTAGGCCCGTGACTGAACAAAGCACTGATCCCGGCTGGGAAAGGGAACAGTATGCCGAGAGGAAGAATTAACAAAACTAATAGGAAGTCGAGGAGCGAAATAGAATACATCTGTAGCAAAGTAAGCAGGACTACGCTAATGTCTCCTAGAAGTAACATAGATATGAGTAAACCCACAAGGTCCTGCAATGAAGACATGAAAAGCAAAAACATTTTATGAGAAGTCTGGAGACATAGTATGGCTAGAGGAAGGAGTTGATGTGCATCTCGAGTCTTAACTACCTGGTGACCAATAGGTCGGATATTGAAAATCAAGAAAGGGAAAGAACAGACAGCCTTCCGTAGTTTAAGTGTTTGTAAACTGCTTGAATTCAAAATCCCTCCTCCAAATACTTTACGTGGCATCAGTGGTTCAGTAAGTTTCAGATATTGCCTTCGATCACTCCTGTTCCGCCCCACCAAAGCTGAACTGGAGTTTTCAAGGAGAAATGAACTAAGCCAAGTCACATTTCTAAGAGATTAATACGGCATGCAAAAGACGAAGACGCCTTAGTGTCTCACCATGGTTGTTGCTCAGTTAAAACAACTTCTTCATCAATTGCCTGCAGTGGATTCTCATTTACAGTGGCATACACCAGAAGTCCAAACTGCCAATACCCAGAGGTAGTGGGCTGAAACCAGGCAAGATCTACATGTATGCCATAGGCAGATAAAGTAGGATTCGCATGGGTTTCAATCCAAGAAACAACACGGCAAAATGTATACTTCAAGCGTCCACATTGAACCAAGCGCAGTTGAGCATTAAGACCGGCCACTAACCGATACCAGATGGTTGGCGGAACAGCCTGAAAAGAAGTACTTCAAAGTTAATAATCTTTCATAACTTTGGAAATCAGTTCCCTTCTCCACAGGCATCAACATGTCATAATAATAGTAATATATATGTCAAGGAGATCCCAAAGCCGAACCTGACTCATGAGACTAGTAAGGATATTATCATTGTGTAGAGAGAAAGGGGCCATGTAGCTTCCATCTCCCCCAAAAACTAAAGCCATCGGAGACCTTTGATGAAGACTAGGTGGAAGATCAGGTCTCTTTTCATCTCCGCCAAGGAAAAAGTCCAAATATGCAAGCATTAGGTCAGAAGTGGCTCCCACCTAGCATAAAATCCACATTAGTATCAGAACCAAAGTATGAACCACCACTCGATTTCAGATAATACAACAGTGAATATACAAGAAACAGACTGGATAAATTGTAGGCGACAGAGAGTTCCAGTAAGTCATCCTAAAAACAATAGCGACTTCTTCCAAAAAGAAACCATAAGCGATATAGCTTATACTTTCATTAAGTGATGAAGTAAGACATTAACATGTTCAATCAAGCAAGTAGAGTATAAGGTCAGAAGCTATGTAACTCTCCAGGCTCTTCTAAGTACGTTGTGTCGACTCTGATTCTAGCATTAACTGCCAGATTTGTATCAAAGTCCTTCATACTCAATTGTCCCTATGGAAGTAAAAAAAGTTCAACCATCTTCAATTTTAGTTCCTTTCCTGTTCAGATGTTTTAGTCCATGTAGGAGAAGTAGCTATCAACCCACAGAAGCAGAAGAAAATCAATCAGTCTGCAACCGATTAAGGCGCATCTGCAAACATGTGTTACAACAAACATCTAGTTCCTGATTTTCAATACGAAACCAAATATCGTGTAGTCAGTTCCATCAGTAAGTATTCATTTCAACATTTCCAAGCCAGTAACGACCTAAAAATTGCCGACAACCAAATCCGCAACCAAACACATCGACTTCTACCTGAAACGCATTATTAAGCTACTAAAGCCATTTGGTTAATTATACAAAACTTGCATATTTAAGTAATTTCTGTCAAAAACTACTATACAATTTTTACAACCGAACACACATTTTCTTCATAATCTACTGAATTTATAACCAAATAACTTTACAAGTAATCCAGCCGAACACACTTATTCCTACGTTCACTACTATCTCTATCCATACCAAATACATCTACGTTCACTACTGAACTTATAACCTAGTCTGCAGATGTAAGAGCCTATATTTCATCTCAAGAAACAATAATCCAGGAAATCCTTATAACATCCTGCAAATCAATTCCCTTTGACGAAACCTAAAAGAACAAGCTGCCGATAAAGCTGTAACCAGAAAGGGGGAAAAACATGATGGTGAGGGAAGATCTTATGCAATATTCCTCAAGCCTACATGCCTAACCAATAGCAGACTTCCAGAAGCAAAATCCAACATGCAAATTAGAGTGGTGAAGTTGCTACCTATAAGATGCTTTTCTTCTTTTCAGAAAAAAAGTTCCTACCTATAAGATGCTTTTCTTCTTTTCAGAACAAAACAGTCATGACAATCATGTGACTACTATGCTTTCAGGTTGCTGAAATGAAATGCTAGCAAGAAAATAAGAACACACTAGTGAGCTTCATAGGCAAGGGAATGAACCTTGAGTCCTTCATACAAAGCACGAGAACGACAAGAACGTAAGCAAGCATGATCATATTCTGAGCGAACAAAATCACGCAGCTGCTGTAGCTTCCTTTTCCTGCACTGCTGTAGCCAAGACCATGCCAGTGGGTATGCAAGAACACAAAGGATGCTGTAAACTGATCCTTGCCACCACTGATATGCAGCTAAACCATTGATCTCATCCACGAATCTGTTGAATGCATCCTCATACCTGTAACATTATTATAAAGAGCACAAAAAAAAAATTAATATTCTGAACTATGGCAGACGCCAACTTCCCTAGCTTCAGGAACAAGAATCAAAACAGTAGAAATGTAAAAGGAAAAAGTCTGTTACCACCAACTAGCTAACAGATAAGAGATATGTCAGAAGGAAAAATGCTTACACAATCTCAATAACTTGTTTAGGAGGAGAATGAGTCAAATTCCAAGGTTCACTAAAGGTGTTAGCCCCCATAAAAAACATCCTGTGCACATGATTTCGGGATTCTTCAGTTCTATTTGTTTCCAGTACCTGGGAGAGCAGATCATGGTTAAGTCACCGGCACACAGAGAACATCATTACAGCAAGCAAAAGACTAAGGCTTACCTCATTCAATGACTCGAGGAAAGGGAATGAGTTATCTATGCGAGAACCCCGCTGAGCAGGCACAAGAGTAGGTAATTCCTCACCCGCAACATATTTCATTCGTGCAACACTAAGCACTAGAGTTAACAGGACGAGTAGACCCAGTAGAATAAGACCAAATAGCCATGGACCACCAAAAGTGTACACCAACTCCTCAAAAGTCGTATAGCAATTTGGCATGTGATATCTGTCAGACACACACCTGTATGGGCAAGGCCTTTCAGTAACACCACCTGCGTCAACACAGGCGAAAATGTAGTGTAAGTTTCCAGGCTTTAACATGGGCATGTTTTTAGGCAATTAAGGTTTATCAAAGAACGAGCTATGGCCAAACAGAATATTCCAAGTTTCCAACGGATGGTGAACAAATCTAGGCAATAATTTTTTTACAGCCTTTCATAATCATTCCTTGACTATGCAGAATCGTTCCATAACAAAATATTCAGAGTCGTTCAGATGATCCTCAATCTTCATATATGCAGAGAACATCAAATTTATCCATCCATTGGGACTAATTCATCATCACGGAGAAGAACTACCTCTAACAGTGACATATAAGGCACGGCTTGGAAGCTCAGAGGATGGGCAACTATAACAAAGGGCTTGATCAGATCCGCTGACATTCTTGAATGTACCTATGGGGCATTCCTGCATGATATTCAATCCCGAAGTAATCAAGATGTTGCAACAAAACATGCAAAGTACTTCACCAATCAGAATCCTTATCAGTTCAACAGTAAAGAAGATGACCATAATGTATATAAACAACTAAAAAGTTCTCCTGTATGTTGATTAATTTAATAACTGGAGTTCAAGATTAAAATTTTAATGCTTCTCTATGCATTATGTCAATAATAAATACTATTTTTAATGTATACCATACATTTCAGACATTGGATAATCACACACTAATTATGCGGTTTAAGAAGTTCTGGAGAACTGCGCCAAAGCAAGACAGCAAAAGAGCAATAGAAAAATCTTACCTCACAAAAGATACCATAGAGCCCTTCTGGACAGGCCTTCCCGGTAGCAGTTCCATCATCTCCAGCATAACCCTGACCTCTACCAAGTCCCCCGCTGCCATTCATGGAACAATATGTTTAGATCTTACAAGTCCTCGAGACTCAATATTTGCTCCAGAAGTAAAAGCAGCATTTGAAAAATATACCGGAAACAGGTACCCCATGGACCAAAATCAATTTGAAAACCTAGCTATTTGACTAGCTATGGAAACTACTTTTTAATTAATACTTCAGCATTCCACAACCTTTCCAGAGGTTGGCCCTTTACATGTACATCTATTTTGATAGATGTAGCTTTGGAAACTATAGTCGCCATCAGAGAATGTTTATGGGGACAACATCAATGTTACCAGAGCTGAGGTGACTCATCAACTTGCCTAGTTCTTGATTATCCATAAAAACATATCAAGTGGGCTAAGGCAACATGTCACAAACATAGGAAAAACATAGCCAAGCTGAAAGCATTTGCTTTTTGTCTAAGAAAGAACAGAGGAAAAAAACCCACATTAATCAAAGACACTACCACACTACAAAAACTTGAAAGGAAGAAATTGAGAACTTCAGTTTTAATGTAGTGACAAATACCAACCCCGTCTGAAGGCTCCCATTTGCGATAGCTATTGGCACATACTCATCTCCAGTTGGAATATTTGCCCAATGAAAGTGAACTCTTCCACCACCTCCACCACCACCACCATAAGGACTTCCATGACCTCCCATAGTGGAAATGGTAGAGGAACTCCCAAATGTCACTGAATGAACAAATAAAAGAATAGTTCCACCAGCACCACCTCCAGGACCTACGTTTGAGGTCATTATAGCATCTCTCTTAGGATCTTCTCCAAAGCTTTCACCATCTGCTCTAAGTGAACCATAAACGGACAAACTGGACAGTGCGTGCTCCATAGAACCAATCACTGGGAAAGATGATGGAAGGACAGGTTACTACTGGAAAAGCAATGACAAAACGTGACCAAAACATTTTATTGGAGACTTTGTGCATTTGCATCGTGGCAATCGATTACTGACAAAGCATAAGGCCAGAAACCATAGATGAGGCTACCAGAATTGTAACGAGGTAAAATTGTAATTGACTAGTAGCCATCATATATTCAATAAAAAGGGATATAATCTTTCTCCATAGGCACAAAGAGCAACTAAGAGGTCAGAACAAAGAAGCCTACAGAGAATACAAGAATATAGATGCAAGAAACTCACTTCGCAGCTCAACTCACAATATGATCAAGTAGATAAATGTGTAAAGTGGCATCATAGAGTAGTAAGTAAGACACACTTATGTACATCCCATAGTGTGAAAAGCTGCAACTCTGTAACTTTTGAAGCATAGAAAGAAAGAATACATCATCAATCATCAGGACTCAAGAACTCACCTATTATACCACCTCCTGCCGTTGTCCCAGCTAAACTATCATTTCCGCTACCGCTGCCAAGTTCACAAGGCAATTCAGCATCTCCGTAAGCAACGCCACCATCCACAAAACTCCCATTATAATACCCTTTGCCACCTTTTCCACCATGTCCACCACCACCACCAAGGCCATTGTCAAAAACATTACCTCTTCCAAGACCACCAGTGCAGCCTGACAAGTTGGGATACGAAAAGAAACAAATTAATGTTACAATATACATCTCTTAACCAATCCCACATAGAACTGTACAAAGACAAAGCTATATGCTTGTGTTTATAAATTATTTGAAAGCATATAATAATAAAGCATACAACATTCTAAAGCATATAACAATCATACCCAATCCAGAAGCACTGATTACTCCAGAAGAATTGACAACAGTATTTCTGACCAAGCGAAAATGAACAACAGATCCTGTTACCAAGCCTCCAACAACTATCTCTTCAACTCGACATACCTACAGCAGATTACAAGCCAGATGACTGTAAGAGACATTGCACCTCTCTCTACACAGTGGGCAGTTATGAATGAACAAGATAAGTACTTAGTGCTCAATCTGGCAAATGGAACACCTGGAGAGTAAAGGCCAATGAAGAATTCATGTTACAATCCTCGGGTGGGTGAATCAGTTCCCTTGGGCAGTCTCTATCCTCGCAATAGAGTCGTGGCGTCCTACAAACATGATTTATAAATAAGCATTCACAGAAAAAGTAAGAGCCTGGAGGATTGAAGGGATTTGGTGAACACAACTGCTCAACTCCCACGCTTATGATGAACTTACATGCTATGATCATCAGCATCCTCCAACGGGCCTCTAAGAACTGATCCAGGTTCAACCTAATGAGAGTATAGGCAACAGATTAGTACGGTAGAGGCACTCTTGCCATTCATAAATAAATAAATAATCGTCTATCAATTGTGTGAAGGGGAAAACTGTCTGCATGGGAAACAATATCATTCTCAAGACCTCAATATTTTGTATACACGATTCTCAAGAAATTTCCAAGAATGTTCTCCATATGCTAAAATACACGAAGAGTAGGAAAGATCAAACAAATAGCATTTCTATGTGGACAATGTACTTCCAAGAAAAACTTATTTCAACTGTTGACAATCTTGGATAATAATCCGTTAAATTATCCTATTCCTGTGAAACCTGTGAATTCAGAGGCATCAAGAATGAGTGTTTAGGATGTGAGAGTGCTATGTGACTTTTCAAGCTCACATTATCAAATCTCCTCAAGCCCTAAGATATTCTAGGTCTCTTACTTTGGGTTCCTAAAACAAATAAAGTAACAATTTTATCACTTACTGGGTGAAGCTACTTCAACTGAGAATGGATTCATCCATCATGCAAGCATCTAGAGTACAATATATGGTGACTTTTCACACGAGAAAGTGGTAAATAAACCGTTGGCTTACATAAATACCGAAAAACAAGGATAGAATCAGGCGTTGAGCTTCAATCATGTTGCCTGGTCCCGACAAATTCAAGAAACCTTGCCCATGGACTTCCAAATTGGCATTAGAGTGTACTGCAGAAGATTCCTGTTGCCATTGCCAAAACATCATGTGACCAACAATCAAAATGAATCAAGGACATGCACCCAATAATAGAGGCAACCAAACATACCTTGAGGACAATTAAATTGCTGGCCTCCAGCGAAGAAGTGGCCACAATATCATCCCCACCTCCATCTATAAGCATCTTGGAATCCCACATCAGCAGTATCTTGACAGACATACGAAGCGCTCCATATATCTGGTTAAAAATGAACAATAGGACATGACGGTACTTGACATGCAGAAAGGTCCCAGGACACTAATATGAAACAACTCTCAACTGGACAACTGAAAATCATTCCTTAAAGTGGAATTGAAGGAAGAACTCCTAACAAACAAACATATTAAGGAGAAATGGAGATGAATAAGTAATGCTGCATTGCAGAATAAAAAACCACTAAAAACCTTCTTATAGTCATATCAAACTTTGTGCTGAACATGGATTCAAGACTGCGGTTCAAAAAGAAAACAAAGCCAAAAGAATCTAATGGTAACAGATAATGATGACAAGCCCTAAGAAAGCCATATGATTGTTTTATATAGCATGGAAGTCGGTAATGAGATGAATTTGGGGGAGGCATAAAAAACCCACCTTTCCTTACCAGGAAGACAGAGTCAAAAGAAACGAAAATTGAATCAAGAATAAGAGCTTGTGACCTGCCTTAACCACTGAGTTGCTCATTAGAAGTTCTTCTGCCATCAACTCAAACTCTGATGTGGCATAGTGTGGGAGGCCAAAGCTCATCACTGCCTTACATGACAAACTGATTTGTCCACGAACCTAAAGAATCAGCAGGATGAAAAATGAGCTTAAAGAGCAAGCAAGCTACAAAAGCTCTACCAGATGAAATAAGGAAAAGGAGCACACAATATGCATCATTCAATGATTTCATGGCTGGGTGTATTTGGGGAACCACCTGAGCCCGACTCCAAAACAAAGGAATAGAAGCCCTGGCACAATTCTGAACATAAACATTGGTCCAAAGTGGCTGCTTAGGAAATTCCATCAGAAGCGTATCCGTGTTGGTGGACATGTTGTTATTGTTAACTGTAAGGCTCCGAGGAACCGCATCAAAATATGTTCCAGCAGCACCAGAATTTTCAATGCAGCCAAGACTCCTTCCACCTGCACAAAGAAGAAAGCGCATAAGAACACACTCAAATATGCCTAATAAGGAAGCAATTAGAGACATTGTTGTGTCTAGAATTTCGTAGTTTGGGATGTCGGAATCCCCTTTTTGTTCTTCTTTTTTAGAAGTAAGCCCCTTAAGAACACCAAGTGAGCCATATTCTTTGCACCCAATATTAATTTAAGTTACATACACCCCTATATGCAAATGTGTGTTATCAAAGACATTAAAACAAAAGATAGGAACAAAAAAGAAGACATCTTAAACGACAAGGCCAAACCTATCATCATACCATGAACAAAGATAGACATATCATCATGCCTGCTGAAAACATTAACAGACACCCTTCCACCACCACCACCAGCAAATCCATTACCACCAGAAGCGCTCAGTGCACCATCTCCTACCCTGCAAGGTGAAAATTTAGATGAGAATCTGAGTCTTTTAAGGACAAAAAAATATCGACGAACATCAGTTCATTTAATGATAGCTGCAAAACAAAGAAGAGAGCAAGATGCACCATGTACAATGAACAGTCTGACAAGAAATACAAAAGTACTAGATCATGTGACATTCTGTAATAAAAACACATTAAGAAACAACTCATGCTTACAAAGACCAGACAATTAGTATAGATGTAGAACTTATTCATCAATACTATATATAGGGTTGCTGCTTCAAACTCGGCCAATTTTATGCTGTAAACTCCAGAACTCATGGCAGAGTGTTCTAAGACGATCCGAACTAACATTACGTGATGAGTTTGTAATTAAGAGGTTAAGAGTTAACCATTGCTCATGTTTGTCTGTCATTAAAAGGCGGCGTGAGAGACTCCTATCAGAATTCACCATCTTGGTCTCTGCTGTTTCAGTTTGCAGAAGGAAGGAAAGAGCGTCGTCCAACACGCTAAATTGCTAAGAACAAATGTAACCCTTTAAGCTGTAGGTACACAGAGCTGCCATTTCGGTCTCTTAATGTTTGATAGGCAACGGCTGGAATTTATTACTTTTACAAAGAGTTGAGTCTGTATTTGCACAATATAAGCAACTAACTCTTGAGGAAGCAGAGGAGAAGTTTTAATGAGAAACATATCAGCCAGTTGGTCCCAAAGGGCATAAAAAAGCATCTGGGGACAATGAGGAAAGCAATGTATCTGATAAGGGAGAGGAAGATGAAGAAGAAGCTTGGCAAAAAGTTTGGAGGGAAGAAGGCATGGCAAAGATTGGGAGGCTGCTGTCGGATTTAATGGTAAGTATGTTAAGGAGGGAATGATGCAGCAGATGCCATGGATGCAGGGAGTCCCCCCTCTACTTTTAGTTCACAAAAATTAGAGTACATTTGAACTGGTGTGTCTGGGGAATAGAAAATTGCAGGCAGTATCTGTACTTCTGGTTGGGTTCTCAATTGAGAATGCCATATGTCCTTTAAAAAATAATTGATTAATCATAAAAAAAGTTACTAAAATTTGTATAGCATTTTGCTAGCAGTGGTATCGTAGATTCTTTCTCTTTATGTGGAGGTAGCAAAAGTATTAGTGACATCACATCTCTGAGCACCTTAAAACTTGGGTTTGGCAGTTTCAATTCTTACTATTTGATGTTTAAGTTTGTTTATCTCTGCGTTATCCCGACTTTGTGCTCTATGGCTGGTGCACATTTTGTTGTCTTCCATTTCCTTGTCCCCTTGGCAATTACAAAAGGTTGATATAGTTTGAGCCTTGAGAATTCGTTTAAAGTTTCTGGTGCCTGCTAAATTATATAGAAATACTGGAAATTGCTGCACTATACGAATGTAGTAAGTTCGTCTTGCTAGCAAGAACTTCTAAGTTTTTTGACAAAACATATGGTATTTGCTTTCTGTATACAATTCCTAACTATTTTCATTATCACTCTAGTGCTTTTAAGTACCATAATAAACACGACCAAATCTCCGTAGCCGTGGGTATTGATACTAGTAGTATCCTAAAGACCAAGGAGCTATACACTAACCCAATTCTAAGACAAATGGGCACAAGAAAGAACTTACATTCTATGAGCCTGGATACGGATGCTGCCTCCTGAACCCCCACCACCCTTTATACCGCCATCTCCACCTTCCCCCAACAAAGTTCCATAAAATTCAATTGAGTTAGTGGCATTCAATTCAATCCTCCCGCCTCCTTCTCCGCCATAATTCTCCTCCTTGCTCGTTGTCCCACCTTTACTTCCATAACTCCAAGGATTCTGCAAATCAGCCCACGAATAAGCGTCCCCGCCCCACACATCCTCGGGCAACTTGGTATTATCCGAGAGGCAGCTGGCTCCCCGTCCCCCATGACCACCACCTGCCCCTTGCACGCCTGAAGGAGTTCCGCTAGTCTCTGGGGGAGGCGGACCAGCCAAGGCAGTAGTGTTAATCAGCGAGCCATAACTCAAACTCACATTCTCGGCAGCAAGCGACACAGTCCCCGCAATTATCACCGCATTCTCCCCCAACCTAATCTCATGGCTCACGTTGACCACAATGAAACATCCGCTGGCAGCGCAGCTCAAAGTGACATCGGGAAGCAACACCAGGCTCCCGCTCCCCGCTACATACACGTGATCAGTGAAATTCAAAGACGAACTCAGCTTGCACACAGTGTCCAAGGAGCCGACGCCTTTGAGATCCTCCTCGCAGGTGACAGAGCGCGGGAGCGGAGGCGGAGCAGGCGCCGGCGGCGACGGGGGACTGTAGTCTCCGTGATAGGCAAACGAATCGAAGCCACCGGAAATGGAGAATTCGCCATCGTCCAGATCGGTTTCACTCATGCAAGGCGTAGCTGCCAACCAGAAGCCGAAGGCGACGACGACGAAGAACTGCAGAAGGAGAAGCGACGCAGCTGCAGGAGCCATTTCGAGGAGACGATGCCCAACATTACATGAATATAAAACCCTAATTTTCTTCGAAAACCTTTTCCCTCTCCCTTCCTTGAAAAATTTCCGCGCCTTGGAAACGGAATTCGCGGATCAGGCTCGGATTTTCTGATCGGTGGAGGAAGTAGCACTGGCAGTTACTCTCTGTGTAAGAATTGGAGGACTATTTGGCGGAAACGGGACAATTTTCCGGCGGAATTCGGGAAAGGTTTTGTCGGTTTGGTAAGAGGAAGAGTGTGCAAGAGAAAGCGAAGGAGAGTGACGACGGAGGAAGGAGGAGGAGGAGGAGCGGAGGTGGAGGGGAAACTGAAAAGGGAAAGGGAAAGGGAGAGAGAGAGAGAGAGAGTAAAAGGAAAAAAGAAAGATGGGAAAAAAACAGATGGAAGAGAGATAGCGCGCCTGAGCTGGCGCGTAATTAGTCTTTCAAGAGGTTCTGCTACTTGTTTTGATGCCCAGTTCTAAAAAACTGGATAACCGTCCTTTTCTGGGCCTGGGCTTTCCGTTCGTTCAACAATCGGATCTGGGCTCTACGGCCAGTGAACTTACGACTTACGAGACTGATTTGCGCATCATTTGCAAGTTTGTAACACAGTCACATAGGTCAAACAAGCTAAATGATCCACCACTATAGGATAAAGAAGGGTATATTGGCGGATCCAGGGTGGTCAACCCAGGCCCTGGTCTAGCCCTCCTCTGGACCTAAAGTTAGTATAACCCTTATGAATTTTTCGATTTTAGACATTCGGTTCAGTGTTATTTTATAATAAGATTGTGTAACTAGAAAAATAATTCATATGAACATATTCAAATAACTACTCTAAATTTAGCTTATAAATTCTAGCCCTAAAGATTTTCGTCTAAACAAAAACAACGGACCTGAAATTTTAAAAGTCTAATGCGTAAAAGACTAATAAAAGAAATATGAGATTTATTCTATTGAAAATTTACTAGAGCAGTTGTTGGATATAGGGATGGACACACAATGGAAATTGATTAGTCGATTGATTTAGTATTGACGCTGTCCGTTTCAACAGCTACTACGGCGAGAACCTTATCAACAATGAAACATGTGAAAACTAATTAGCGCAACAAAATGAGCGATGAATTACTCGCCGGTTGCTTAAGTATTTTATTTGAAACAAAGCATACTATTGGCATGGATGTATACTCCATTATTGATGCATTCGCTAAATTAAAACACCATCGTGAACAATTGACATTGTAAAAAAATATAAAATCATTATCCTTTTACGGTATCTAATTTCTAATGAAATCCGGCCCAGTGCACTATTGTGTTCTAGATCCGCCGCTTGGTCACCATATTGACAAAGTGTCGTAATAAAGATGTTTTCATCGGCGCCAACCCACGAAACAAAGAACGAGAAATTTTTTTCAACGCGATAATGAATTGATGTATTCAATATGCACCACTACTAGATAAGTAAGATGGCTTTACAGAAAGGAGGAAAATGTTCCACGCCAAACCGATCGTGCACCATTGGCAGAGAATGATCCATCTTCGGGCTCATAATCCTCGAAGTTTCCGAGTGAACCACTCTTAAAAGACGTTCTAAGCACATCCATGTGAATGGATGAGCTATGTCAAGATGACTAGCATATATGACTCTAGAAAAGGAAAGTACATAAATCTGGCAATAACGAAACAATGTTAATCACCTAATCGTATTTAAGGAGAACACATAAAAATGGATAATTGAAAGTCAGATAACATGTCTAGCTATGAGACAATCAATTGTGGAAAAAGAAGAAACTTGAAGAATTCGAAATAATGGAAAACGCGGAGAAATGGTTGATTGAATACCTGAAAAACCAGCCAGCAGAATCGGAGAAGGTACCCAGACAGGTGGTCCAATGGAAACCTCTAGATAAAGCAACCTACAAGATCAACGTCGACGCGACGACCTTCGCCGGAGCTGGCACTGGTCTGGGGGTGGTGGTTCGAGACAAAAATGGGGTTTTTTGCTGTGCGGGTGTTAGAAGAACTCGAATTCAATGGACATCGGAATTGGCTGAGTTGCAAGCCATTAAATTTGGTTTGGAGATTGCAGTGGAAAAGGGGTTTGTTCCGGGAGAGATTGAATCGGATTGTCTCGGAGCAGTGCAACAGATCGAGAAGGAAGAGACTTCGATGGCAGAGGAAGGAGCGGAGAGTGAAAAAGTAAGAGAAATGATCGATAGTCTCAATGGTTTGATGGGGATCCAGTTCTCGGTCCGAGAAAGTACTCGGGCAACCCACATTTTCGCCCATATATAGTGTGGGTGGAGAGAAACAGAAATCTGGGCCTCTAGGTCACCAATTTTCCTTGTGAACCAACTTATTTCTGATTCCTGTAATATTTCGCATTGATGAAATAATACAGGCTTATCTATAATAATAATAATAAAAACCTGTCTAGCTATGAGATTTCCATACACAATAAAAATAAAGTGTCCCATTGAGTAGTTGTATTTGTGGTTATTTTAAAAGAACATACAATTAGATTGTTATGGAGCTAATAGAGTTTGGACGAATGAAACTATTCGGTATCGTTCGTACTAATGAAGCTATCTGATTTCAACATCTGCTTGATAGCATTCTCCCACACTAGCAATATATAAGCGAAAAGGAAATGCCTTCTCTAGCTTCACACCGAACCCTACAATCCAACCTAGCGAGTTTCGTTGTCGCCATGACTGCCGCCCAAGGAATAAGCTCCACTAATCCACACGCACATCAAGACAACAAACCTTAAGCTTCCCTTAATTCCACCCTTCACACGAGAAGGAAGAAAGCTATCTCTCTGAGTGCGGCTTCTGAACTATACACCAAAATGGACGGCCAAGCGAGGGAGATGGACAAATTAACATACTTCATTCTTTTGAAAGCAAACCCAGAAACAGGACCACTCTTCCGAGATATTTTTCATCTTTAGATATATTATTATTATTATTATTATTATATTGTAATAAAATAAAATATCAAATAACATAGTGAAAGAGAGGGAGTGATGAGCAAACTTTCTTCCACACCATCCATTCATCCGACAAAAGCTTAGTAATTATACTTAAGCCCCTCCCTCTTAAAAAAACAACAACAAAAAGAAGAAGAGATATTGCAAAAGAAAAAGAAGAAAACAAAAGAGGGAGATGGCTTCCATTGTCGTCACCACCACTCTCTTCCATCCAAACACATCATCGGCCTCCTTCCTCCTCTTCGTAGCCAAATCACCATCTCAGCTTATTCCCTGGGAAGTACTGCCAAAACCCAAATCGATAGAAATCATCATTAGGATCCACAATTGAAAGAAGAAGAGATAGATATTGCAACGGAAAAATTATGTTGTTTGTGTTGCATACTTTGGCAATGAGGGATTGGTAGTATGGCTTGACTGCATCAACATCAACGTGGACCTTGCTCTTGCTGTACAGATCATATTTGCTGCAACAACAACAAAACCCACATTCATCCATCATTGAAATCAAGTAAAAACCCAATATGCTGTAACAAAACGAGAAGATGGTCTATGTTATAACATACTTGAAGATGTGGAGCCACTTGATATCCTCCTCGTCCTGCTTGTTCATCAGCTGCTTATACGCCCCGTGCCTGTGCAGAGCTGCAAAATCACACCATACCATACGAAAAAACAACTTTAAACAAACGAAACGAATGATAATGCGAAGGAAGAACAAACTCGATTGATCAGATCGAATCGAATACTACTTACGATAGAAGGAATGGTATCGGACGATGAACAATGCAGGGGAAGGCAGGGTGGTTTTGTTCTCCTTGGCGACGAGGTACATGTAGTCGTCGTGGCCCCAGGACATGTAGACACTGTCAAGGCCGCATCCTTCCTTGTAGACTCCGTTCTTGGTATTGTAGGCCGGGTTTTTGCTGTCCGGGTTCTCCGCAAAGTACTTGTGGTGGACGTTGGACTCGTCGAAGGCGCAGCCCAGTGGATATGTGTCGCCCACCACGGCCCATTGGGGCAGCCCACCGAACTGAGGAAGCAGCAGAATCTTCCCTAGATCTTAAAAAAAAAGGATTCCAATTTTTTTAATCAGAAGGGACACCAGGGCACAGAAATCAAGGGGTACAGAATAGGACAGGTGGTGTCATACCGTGGATAAGGGCGGTCAAGTGGAGCCAATCCTCGTTAGGGTAGTCCTTGCGGATGGCCTCGGCGGTCTGCAGCAAGTGCTGGATTTGGGGCTCGTCCAAGTCTGGGTCGCTGTCGTCCACCACGCTGTTGAGCAGCTCGCAGCACTCCCATACGCTCATTTCTGCCTTGTCCAGCTTCCCATACTCTGCCCTCATCTTCTTCACCTGCATCATCATCATTTCCCATTTTGTATTTAAAACAAAAAAAAATAAAAATATCTCGCAGTGAAAAAGGGGGAAAAAATCACCATTAGACGATGACCACTGATTGACTTACGAAATCAAGGGTCTGGGTAATGTGCTGTTGCCTGTAAAGATTCTCCACCGTCTTCTGCCTCTCGTTCTCTGCATTGTAGTTTCTGCAATTCCACAACCCCCCAAAACACACCACATATTTTGTTACTTAATCGTCACTAATAAACGCACAAAAATTTTGGCAAACTCATGAAAGCGGACGATCCGGACTTATAAAATTGTGATATTACTATGGTTTACCTAAATGAATTGCCAAAGGCGTTAATATCGGGGGCTGCAAATCCATTGCTGGAGACGACTTTGTCGGGCACCACAAACCCACCATCCAAAACCAATTCCTCTTTTACTTCTCCGACTTTGTTTTTCTGATCCACCACTGCTGCAACAATCATAATCATTTTCCCGTATGAAATAGTGACCTCATAAATCCACACTCTTTTTTCCTTAAAATACATGATAATAATAATAATTATTATTATTATTATTATTATGACGCATAAACCGAATATTCGGATATTAATTAGAAAAAGTCAAATACCAAATACGAGATAAGCTCCAAAGAAAGAAAGACAATAATGTAACAGGCGAGAGGGGAAGAAGAAGAGGTAGATGAGGAGAATACGTACCGGGAGCAGCGGTGTTAACGGCCTCCTGTTGCTCAATACGGATCGTCATCTTGTCCTTTTTTTATAAATATATATGGCTACCTAATATATATATAGGAAAGGTAGCAGGAGAAGGGAAGGACCAATTATTTATTTTATTTATTTTTATTTATTAGAGGCAAAGAGAGCCTCGGAGAAGAGCAGAGAAGCTCGGAGGGAGGGTTACAAGGAGGGGTTTCTTACGGTTTCACTCATTCGCAGTGCCGATTGAATGGGAGGCTTGGGAGGGGCTTTTATAGCCTGACGACCATGAAAAGGACTGTCCTTCCTTGATAATTGGAAGGATTCTCAGGTCCTCAACCACAAAAAATCAAAATCAGGAAAATTAATTCTCACCGCAAAATTACTTGCTATTTCCAGCAACCCCCGCAATGAAATGTTCAATCCTTTTTGCTATTAATAAGGTTGATGATAATATATATACTGCTAATAATTGTCGGGGGCCAAAATTCAGCTGACCTCACCCGACCTCGATGCTCCACCAAAGGCAAGCGGATGTGCCAATCCCCGCAGGCATTATATTATGCATCTTGGATTTGATTATTTGAAAAAAGGGATAATAACTAAACTAGTCTTGGTGTTACGTTAACAATTGTATAACACACATGATAATTTACCATATAATTAATTTCCATTTTGCTTTTATGTTTAGTATTTGTGAATATTGCTTGGAACAAATACGGACAAGTATAATGTCGATTATAAAGATAAATTTATGAGTAAAAATAATTTTTTTATAAGCAGATTGGTTGAAGTAACTCTAGTTCTAGGCTATATTTGTATTTCATTATATTAATCAGATTAAAATTTAAAAATAAATGTCTAAAGTTTAATTGTAAGTGTTTGAGCCAAGTTCCGTTCTTGCAAGGCCGAGCGCCCTTCTTCCCCCTCTCCTCGAAACCAATTGCCTCCCTCGCCTTCTTTTCCTACTCCGAGGCGCCAACGTGGTCCATTAGCTCTCCAATGCTCAAATAAGCTCTTAGTTTTTAGAGAGAGAAGTAAGAAAAGTTTAGAGAGAGAAGTCCCAACCTGAGTAAATGAGATTCACCTACACCTCTATTTATACTATGAGTCTCGCCGACCAATGGCCCCCATATCCGCCCACGTCATCATTTCAATAAATGTGTCGTACACCCCCCTTGATATGTGCCTCAACCATCTAACACCTCCATCAGAGGTTCAGGCGCATAACCTATGACAGTCAGCTTTTCGAACACTTTCGATCGTTGGATGTATTTTGTCCTATGCACCTCTTGTCAGACGTCAGGTCTCACTCGCCCAGACTGCCACCTGTCTTCTTGGGCTTATCCTCCCTTATACTTGGGCCGGTTTTATGCGACTGAACTTTCCCTAGCCGTTGCTCCTGTTACTGACACTGATTTGGTCACAGTTTGTCTTCGTGTCCTTGGTCCCGATTATCGGGAGTTTGCAGCTGGGATTAGGGCTCGTGACATCCCTCCATCCCTTGAAGACTTGCTCGACCGCCTCGTTGCTCTTGAGGCTAATCTTTGTGCCTCTCTTCCTTCCCCTGACTCTCTGGCTATGGCGTTTGCTACTCAGCGGGGACGTGGTTGCGTTTGTCGAGGAGGAATGGCTGGTCGTGGTGTTGGTCGCGGCTCCTCTTCGCCGCCCTCCTCATCTTACTCTGGCTCCTGGAAAACTTCTCGTGGTAATGATGATGGCCGCCGTACAACTCTCGTAGTGTGTCAATTTTGCGAGAAGCTGGCCCACTCCGCTCACACTTGTTTTCAGTTATTTTCTCACAAGCGTCCGCAGGCTAACAACACTACTGCTCCTTCTTGGCCCCGCTCGTCTGCGCCGGCAGAGGACTCTTGGCTAATGGACTCGGCTGCGAGTCATCATGTCACACCCGATCTCGGCAACCTAGCGCTTTATTCGGACTATAATGGTCCTGACGAGGTTTATCTCGGTGATGGTACAGGTTTGGAAATCACCCATATTGGTTCTTCTTCTCTTACTGCCTCTACTCGTCGTCTTACACTTAATAATATTTTATGTGTTCCGGGTATTCGTAAGCAGTTGATATCTATTGCCAAACTCTGTCGTACTAATCCTGTTTTGGTGAAATTTTTTGCTAATTTTTCGTTGTGAAGGATCTAAGAACGGGGGCGCCGCTGCTGACCAGAAGGAACAAAAGTGATACGTATGAACTTGGTGGTGGTTCTGGAGCTGTCTGTCTTGTGCTAGTCACCACTCGCAACACTCTTGATCTGTGGCATCATCGTCTTGGGCATCCTTCATCTCGTTTTTTGTCTAGTATACTTCGTGTCAATTCTCTTCCCGTTGTTAAGTCTTCGGGTCTTTCTCATTGTAACTCGTGTCTGTCCCATAAGAGTCATAAACTACTTTTCGGTGTTTCCAGTCTTTCCAGTACTCGACCCTTGGATTTAGTTTTTTCTGAGGTTTGAGGTCCTGCACCTATTCAATCTACTGATGGTGGCGGTGAGTTTGTTAAACTACGTGATGAACTTGCTTCTCATGGTGTCACTCATCTTCTCACCCCCACCTTATACTCTAGAACACAATGGTTTTTCTGAACGTAAACACCGTCATATAGTTGAAATGGGTCTTACCTTGCTTCATCAAGCTCGTCTTCCTCTCACTTATTGGTCTTATGCCTTTTCCACTGCTGTGTACCTCTTTAATCGTCTCCCATCGTCTTCATTTCATGGTCAAGTTCCCTTCGCTCTTTTGTTTAATGAGCCTCCCAATTATCTTAAGCTCCGTGTCTTTGGCTGTCAGTGTTACCCCTGGGTGTATCCCTATGCTTCGCATAAAATACATTCTCGTTCCTGTCCTTGTCTTTTCATCGGCTACTCTCATCAACAAAGTGCCTACAAGTGTCTTGATCCTGTTTCTCTTCGTGTCTTTTTGTCCCGTCAGGTTGTCTTTGTTGAGTCCAACCTTCCTGGTCTTGGTCTCTCGACCTCGTTTCCTCTTCTTCTTCCAGTTCGGACCCGGTGCCTCCTTCGAGGTTTGCCGCATTTCTGCCTCCAGTCAACCTCATCGCCACACCACCTACTCCTCCTTCCTAGTCGTCGTCGTCGCCCATTCGTCCTCACATGCCGACTGCTGCTGAGTCCCCTTCAGCTCCACCTGTGACGGAGCCTACTTATTCTACGTCGGACTCTCTAGCCACTACTGAAATGAGGGCTTCCTCGACGCACTCACAGCCGAATCCTCATCACATGGTCACCCGAGGTAAAAACAATATTCGGAAGCGTAATCCCAATTATGTTAATGTTGTCACAGCTACTGCCTCTCCACCGTTGGAACCGACGTCTGTCAAGGAGGCTTTGCTCCATCCTGAATGGAACAAAGCCATGGCCTCTTAGAATGCAACTCTCCTGGACAATCATATAAGTGATTTGGTCCCATGTCTTCTCCACTATAATGTTGTTGGTAATCGTTGGGTATGACGTGTGAAGTGCAAACCGGATGGATCTACCGAATGCTTTAAAGCTCAGCTTATGGCTAAGGGGTTTTATTAGCGTCCTGGTCTTGATTTTCATGAGACTTTCAGTCCGGTTATTAAAGTCGTTACCATTCGGGTGGTCTTTACTGTTGCTCTCTCCCATTCATGGCATGTTTTCCAGTTTGACGTTCATAATGCCTTTCTACAAGGGCCTTTGCAGGAGGAGGTTTATATGTCTCAGCCTCGGTGATTTCATGACCCTAAGTTTCCACGTCATGTTTGTTGTCTTTTCCAGACTATTTATGGCATGTGGTAGGCACCACATGTTTGGTATGAGGCTCTTAGTTCATTCTTGGAGAGCTGTGGCTTTGTGAAGACACGGTCTGATGCTTCGTTATTTGTCTACCACCGTGGTTCCGTGACTGCCTATTTTCTCATGTATGTGGATGACTTACTGCTCACGAGTAATACTCCTTCATTTTTGGCCGAGTTTCAGTGTCGCTGGCTACTCGGTTTGCTCTCAAACATCTTGGTCCTGTTAACTTCTTTCTTGGCATTGAAGTTATCCCTACGACGTTCGGTTATCTGCTCTCAGCATCGCTACATTGTCGATCTCTTGACTCGGCTTCAGATGCATGATGCCAAGCCCTGTCCTACGCCACTAATGTCTACTTCTCGGTTGTGTCCTCTCGCGGATGCCACACTCTACCGACAGGTGCTTGGTGCCTTGCAGTATCACTTTCTGGTTACTACTCGACCTGACATTGCATTTTTTGTTAACCGCTTGTCACAGGTCATGCATGTGCCCACTACTTAGCATTGGCAGCATGTTAAGCGTCTGCTTCATTATGTTGTTGGTACTCGCATTCTTAGTCTTCGCATAAATTGTCATGCTCTTTCGTTGCCTCTACATGTGTTCTCCGAACTCTACCGACAGGTGCTTGGTGCCTTGCAGTATCACTATCTGGTTACTACTCGACCTGACATTGCATTTTCTGTTAACCGCTTGTCACAGTTCATGCATGCGCCCACTACTTAGCATTGGCAACAAGTTAAGCATCTCCTTCATTATGTTGTTGGTACTCGCACTCTTAGTCTTCGCATCACTAGTCATGCTCTTCCGTTGCCTCTACATGTGTTCTCCGACTCTGACTGGGCTGGTGATCCAAATGATCGTTTTTCAACTTCTGTTTTTTTTATTATATATCTTGGTGATACACTCATTTCATGAAAGTCCAAGAAACAGTGGACTGTCGCTCGCTCCAGCACTGAGGCAGAGTATCGTGCTCTTTCTCTTGCGAATTTCGCGTCATCAGTTGCCTTCGTCTACTCCTGTTCTCTACTGTGATAATCTTGGTGCTGTCAACTTTAACACCAATCCTGTCTTTCACTCTCGTATGAAGCATCTTTCCTTGGACTACTTGTTTGTTCGCCAGCTGGTCCAGTCTCGACAGCTTCTGGTGCGTCATGTTCGTACTGCTACTCAGCTTGCTGATTTGCTCACTAAGTCGTTGCCCCTAGCTTGGTTTCGGCTGTTAAGTTCCAAGATTGGACTCGCTGAGACTGCCTCCATCTTGTAGGGGCATAATAGAGTTGATTCATCGTAGTTGTAGTTTCCTTGTAATACAAGTATTCCTTTCCTAGTTGTACATGGTTAGTACATCGTCAATCTGGGTTATAAATGCCCCTCTCTTGTTAATAATACAACACACAATTCTCATATTATCTATAGTCGTCACGTTGCCGAGATAGCTTTCTCGGAGAGGATGTTCCTGGCCAGGGGCTGCAGAACGCCCCAACTCCTTCCCATGCGCCTTTGTGCCCATCCATTTGTTCGTCAAAGTCCGACGCAGGGTGCCTAGTTAGGTGCCCCAATTCCTCTCTGCGCCTGACAAAGCTAGGCACCCCCTCACCTTCCTCATCCCTCTCTCTGCGCTTGGACCCCGGGGTTGGCTGGGTGTCTCCCCCTTCCTTGAGCGCCACAATTTCCTTCTTCAAAATTTCAAGCACTTGATCGTGATTTTCGATGATCTGAATCAAATCCTCCTTCGCGAGTGAGGCATCTCCCAATCGTACGGTTTCCTCAGCTTGGTGGCTTGCGCTCCTATCCTCCCCTTCCACCGCTATCGGTTTGCTCATGGTCGTCTCTGTTAGTTTGCACTCCCTTTCCCCCTCCTTAGCGTTATGTGTTTCCATATTGCTTCAGTTATACTCCCCTATATGGCGCACAAATTGTTTGGGCCAAGTTCGTTTCTTCCAAGGCCGAGGGCCCTTCTTCCCCCTCTCCTCGGAATTAGTCGCCTTCCTCACCTTCTTTTCCTACTATGAGGCACCAAACACACTGCACACAAAGCACCTAGCGGACCACCGTGGTCTGTTAGCAATCCAATGCTCAAATCAGCTTTTAGTATTTAGAAAGAGAAGTAAGAAAATTTTAGAGAGAGAAGGGGGCGACATTAGCGATAAGGCGTTGTTTGCCTATGCATCGTTTCTAGCCGAGTCAGGATGTGGCTATAAAGGGGATCATTGCAAGAGAAGGCACAACTGAAGTCTCTCTCCATGGAGTAACTCCCTCATTCATCTGGGTATGGAGAACCCTAGATTTGTATGTTAGGTCTGATTGTATGAACCCAAGTACAGATTCTATGATCTGATTATATTCAATTGAGGTTTGAATGGTTGAATGGCATGAATCCTGATCAAATTCCTGTTATTTCTGCTTTAGCCTAGAAAGAGAATATCTGCCTAGGTTGATAGAGCACCCTTAATTGAAGGTAGTGCATTGGCGACTTTAGTCGAGGAGCCAATTCCCTATTCTGTACCGAATTTACTTCGGTAGTGGAGGTTTGGTTCGTTAGGGCCTCAACCTGTTTACTCCAGTGGAGGTTAGTCGCCCGCTGGGGACTCAGATTGAGAGGGTCTGGAGACCTTTAGTCGAGACTTCAGACTGCTTAAGAACCTTCCGCAGTATAACTATCACTAAAACTGAACTTGGTAAATTGCAATCCGGCTTAACTGCAGTCTAGGGGGAACCATATGCGGGTGACTTCTCTCGACTTGAAAACAACCGTTTAACTTACTTTGTGTTTTTGCTTGTTTGAGCCTTCACTTAAGTTTCATCGCTAAATAATAAGGATTCACTGAGTAGTCATCACATCTAGGACCCGGGTTGACATTAAAACCCAAACCCGCTGTACTACGCTTTAGGAAGTGGTTTCACTTGGCCATTTTCTATAGTGACAGTAGGAGTGAGTCAAGTCTAGACTGACCACTCCGCCATTAGCTTCTTGATGAGCAAGGTCGATGCCAAGCGCCACCTAATCCGATGGATCCTACTTCTCCAAGAGTTTTATATGGAAATCAAAGACAAAAAAGGAGTCGAAAATCTTGAGGTGGACCACCTCTCGCGACTCGAAGGACCGGGAGGGAGCACCTCCCAAAGAGAGAAAAATGACACTTTCCACGATGAACAGTTGTTCGTGCTTGCCACTATTGAGAGTGACGCCCCTTGGTTTGCCGATTTTGCCAATTACTTGGTTGGAAGGCAACTGCCCAAGGGGATGGATACAAATGGGAAAAGGGAAGTTCTTCTCCGATCTCCGATACTACTTCTGTGATGATCCCCGCCTTTTTTGGATTGGAGCCGATGGGGTCATTTGGTGGTGTGTACCGGAGAAGGAAATGACGGCTATCCTAAGCCACTACCTCAATGGACCAGCTGGAGGCCATTATGATGCCAACCAAACTGCAAGGAAGGTGCTTCAATTGGGATTCTATTGGTCGTCCCTATTCCGGGATGCCTACGCATTTGTGAGTCATTCTGTCAGCTGCCAAAGGACAGGTGATGTTTCTAACCGAAATGAGATGCCCCAAATGATCTCTATTACATTTGAGATTTTTGATGTTTGGGGCATCGACTTTATGGGTCATTTTTCCTCGTATTTTGGAAACAAGTACATTTTAGTGGTTGTGGACTACGTCTCGAGGTGGGTCGAGGCTCAAGCTCTCCCCACCAATGATTCAAGACGGCTCTGCAAATTTCTGAAAAAATTGTTTTCACGATTTGGCATCGCGAGGACCATCATTAGTGATCGAGGAACCCATTTTCAGGGGCAATTTGACAAACTCCTCGATCGTTACGGTGTTACCCACTGGGTGTCAATGGCCTATCATCCCCAAAAAAGTGGACAAGTTGAGCTGTCAAATAGGGAACTGAAAAGGATACTGGAAAAGACCGTGGATCAATCCCGCAAGGATTGGTCCGTAAAACTCGATGATGCTCTATGGGCGTACCGCACGGACTACAAAATCCCAATAGGCATCTCGCCTTACCAATTGGTGTATGACAAAGCATGTCATTTTAATGCAACCGTGGGGGGTTGGATTTTTACCAAAGTACGCAGCAACACAATCAATCCAAGGATTGGATTGATTAAAACGAAATCCGAACCAAAAACAAGGATGTTCTTGGGTGTTTGGATAAAACAGAATCAAACGTGCAATCTTTCACGTGGAAGAAGGCTCGAATGATATAAAGGTAGATGCCCGGCCACGATCAACGCGTTCTTGATTGATACAAGAGCTCAACGAGCTTGGAATCCACCAAAGTTTAACACAAGTACGCAAACTTGCAAAAACCCAAAGGTTCAATTTCAATTCATCAAAGTCTGAATTTTACAACGAAATAGAACGGTATTTAAAGGCAAATAAAACCTAATACGATCTTAATAGAACTAGGAAACAATTAAGGTAAAAGTATACACTAAAAAGGACACAAAATTTGGATTTAAACTCTCTTTCTTGAAGCACAAGTAAGGTGCCAGCAAACAGTCCAAAAGCAGCTTTCGTACTAACTTCGCGCCTTTCGTTCGAGGCCTTCCAGAACTCCAATCCTTCATTCAATTCATTCTAGCAGTTTTCCAGTTTTGAGGTAGCAACTTTGAGGCCTTGGAAAACAACCTTAACGACATCTTCTGGATCCAAAAAAGCATACCATTGGAAAGATGGTAACTTTATCTTTAAAACAAACCCTTAAACTTGAATTTCGACCAAGCCAATTGAGAGAACCTTGCCTCCAAAGTAGGTATCTCGAAACTGTCCCAACACTTAACCAAATTCTGCCTTTCTTCTTCCCAACTTCGATAGCTTATTTGTCAAGTAATTGTGACGTGAATGGTTGGAAATTTGAGATCATATCACATTTGCCCGTAGATCTAGAGCATAGGGCTTTCTGGGCCACAAAGCTATTGAATATGGACCCTACTTTGTGTGGAAATGAAAGGAAGTTACAGGTGCTTGAACTCCAGGAATGGTGCCTCTAGGCCTATGAGTACACCAAGATTTACAAGGAAAAGAAGATGCGCTTTTGTGATGCTCGACTGAAATGAGGGAAGGATTTTCAAACGGGAGAGCAGGTACTCTTGTACAACTCCCGGTTATGATTATTCCCCAGGAAGTTAAGATCGAAATGGTCGGGCCCGTATGTGATAACGCAAGTGTTCCCATACGGGGTGGTTGAGATCTCCCACCCAGAGCAAGGAACTTTCAAAGTGAATGGACACCGCCTCAAATGTTACCTTAGAGGAGAGGTAATGTCCCAAAAGGAGGTGGTGATCCTGCAAGATGCCTAGTCCAAATTCTCCGTCTAGCTTAAGACGTTAAATTAGCGCTTGTTGGGAGGCAACCCAATGGAGGCTAGCAAGTTTCTCTTGCTCTACTATCGTACTGTTATGTGTAATAACCTCGCCTCGAGTGAGTATGTGTTGTGTTTGTGTGTGTGTGTGTGTGTGTGTGTGTGTGTGTATTTTTGTCTTCTCCTTGAAGCTCAAAACTCCTACCCCGGAAAAATTCCAACTTTCACTCACCAAGCCATGCGGTAACATCGTTCCACCCCTATCTTACGCCATTGAGGGCATTGTCGAACTTAAGTGTGTGTCTGTGTGGGGGGTGGGGGGTGTAGTTTATTATTATGCTTGTGTGAGTGTGATTGATGCTTGGAGCCTTGATATGTGCCCAAATTTGAAATTTTTGAGGGCTCCAAGCAATGTTTGCATGATCAAAGTGGTCGGTTTGTGGGAGAATTTCGTGTTTATTGGCATTGACCTTTAATTTTTGCATGTGATCGAGTGTGTCCTATGATGATGACTGAGAGGTGCATTAGGATAGTGCAAAGGTTTAGTTCTCATGTGTGCAAAAATGAATGGATGTATTGACTCGATTACTTATGTATTACAATTGCCACGCATTGTGTTTTTTGAATTGGAATGGATGATTGGGTGACTAGGTAGCCATGTGAGTTTTGAGCCGATCATTTTCTTCTTGTGTGCTTAGATCCCTCTTACCATGGTGAGTAACATCACAGTTTTCACTAGTGAGTATGATGGAGGCATAGGATTAGTCCAAGACCAAATGATGATTGTCCCGAAAATGTTTTATCCACTAGTCAACCCCTTTGGGCCTTGTGACTTTGGGGGTTGTTCTCATGTTAGGAGCTTTTCGCTTGTGAGCTTAATGGTGTTTGGTAGAACGACCCCCCCATCCTTTCTTCGCGTCTATACGTTAGTCGTCCTTGTGTCCCGAAGCTCTCGCTTTTGAGTTCCATTTAGGTTGTACATAGGAGGATTTTGTGCTGTTCTTGCTAGGAATGAAAGAGAAAAGAGTAGTGTTGGAGTAAGTTCTTAAAAGAGAGAATTGGTTGTTATATTTAATATGACAAGTGTTTTACTCTCTAGTACCCCCCCTCAAAAAGAAAATGAAAGAGAAAAATAAAGAAAATGAAAGTAGAATTGAAAAAGAGGTAATAAAACGGGGTAAATAAAGTAGAGAGTACCACAAAGATCAAAGTGTATGCTCTAGAAGGGGTTTCTTGGCACTCAAGCCATTGAAACACCCACATTGTTGTTGAACTCCTTCACTACCATGTCGAAATGTGATAGCAAGAGTAGACCGAGGAAGTGCGCTTAAATGTAGTTCAGGATGGGTTACTATTTAGAAGGGAGAAGTAAGGTTTTTGGCCGATGCTAGTGGTCATTGTTTGTAGGGAAGGTTCTTAGTCGAAACCATAGAACCTTCGGGTTTAGGGTGAAGATGTAGGACCTCATGTTGTGTTTTCCACCATCCAAAAAGGCCTTTTCCCAATGTCCAAGACAATTGCCAGTCATTAGAACTCGTGTCTAAGACCTTCGGACAAGCTAGTGATGACAACCGTCCTGTGAACTCTAGCATTTAGAGGTTGTCGCCATGGTTAAGAGACGATAGGGCCGAGTGTTGATGATTGTGCACATTCTTTGCACCAAATGGTCCCGACCCCACTAGTCAAGAGAGTGAGTGATTCATTCTTGTTTTGCATGTCATATCATACCCCGGAGAGGACATTTGTTGCCCATTCGTTTATTCCTTGGACTTGAATGTTATGCATGGTTTGATGAGTGATCTTGTTGAGACTTGCATTGACTCATGAACAAGGTGAGAACTTATCATTTGCCCGTTTTTGGCGACCTCGAATGTCGTTTGTGGTGGATGTCGGTATTGCTTGCAACGGTCCATGTCTTAATTGCCTAATAGCCATTGAGATTTCCCACTTTGTACCCTTTGATTTGTCCCCAAAATATTTTGTTAGGTTGAAATATTACCTTGTGTGAAATGGCTTGCTTGGGGACAAGCAAACGTCTAAGTGTAGGGGGTGATTCGGGCCTAATTATACACCTTTTATCCCCGTTTCTCTTTGGCGTTTGTGGCATTTGAGCTCCTAAAAGGGTGGTTTTACGCTAGGTTTCTTGTGTTTCAATGTGTTTTAGAGTCCAAAAGGTGAAACCAACCCCAGAGTTGAAAGTTGGAAGAAAAGCCGCAAAGACCGGGCAAAGAGGAGGATCCAGTCGCGGTCAAAGCTTGGAGTTCACGGTCGCCACGACCGTGAACTGTAACCACAAACCCTGAACCGCAGAGCGTCCAGAGGAGTTTCAGAGGTTACTAACGCGGAGGTAGTTCACGGTCTTAAGACCGTGAATTGGAGCCATGGACCGTGAACTCCATAAGTGAAGCGTCACGTTTTGATCTGTGTTTACGGTCTCGGCCTGATGTTCACGACCGTGAACTGGGCGCGATCTGTGTATAAATTGAGAGCTGAAAGGAAGAAGAGGGGGGAGCCCAACAGTGAGAGAAACCTTCTTCTTCTTGAAACCCTAGAGATAGAAAGCACAAACCAAGAG